TCAATATCAGTATGCTAAATATCAATCAAACACTCTTTAGGGGAATTTAAAATTGCCCTATAGGGGAAGTCAAAATTTTGATTTCAACTGGCATTCTCTCAGGAGAACTCGAAATTTTTGATTTCTCCTAGTCCAACTCAAAATTTTGATTTCCCCTAGGGGAACTTTAAGTACACAGCACTTGCAGTGAGTGAGAGAATAGGGATGTATAACATCCTTTCTATTTACTGTCGCTCGCACAATTGCACTTTTTCTTCGTTCATTTTGGGTATCAAAAATGCTTCTTCTTTATCATGAAATACACCAAATATAGGGCTCTGTCAGTGTATAGACTCAGTTAATGTTTGCTGTTTAAAGATCTCAACATAAACATCTCTTACCACGCATATGTCATGGCATCATTAAATTATGGATCCTCACTGTACTCTTTCACACCTGAATATAACATTGATAAACTAGATAAAGTGCAGTTTCAAGCAGGGCTAGTTGTCTCTGGAGCCATGTGTACAACTTCACAAGACACAGTCCTGAATGACCTCCACTGATTACCTTTGAAAGACCATTTCTCAAAGATGCGGCTGACGCTCTTTCGTCGTTTTATATTCGCTTCTGCTCCACAATTTTTGAATGATCATATGAAAATCAAACCTTGTAATGCTTACAACACGCGGTCAAACGATCATCAAGTATTTTTGACTAACCATCTGAAGGGCTCTGCAATAAAAGGCACATATTTTGCTCTTGTTCCCCATGAATGGCATAAACTACGCCTGATGTTAGAACAACAAATTCTCTTTCAACTTTTAAAACAAAATTAAATGACTTATTTTTTAATAATCCCGATAAGAGCAGCTATCTTCGTTCCACTGTCCTTAAGATTGTTGATACTCGTTGTCGGGTTGATTTTCCGCGGCTGAGAGCAAGAATCAAACGAACTCTCTCTGGGCGATCTAGAGAATTGTGACTGTGGTGAAGATGAGACGCCTTCACAGTATTTCTTGCATTGTGCATTATATGCTAAACAATGGAATTTGCTTCGTGATATACTAAAACTTTTCGGAGCCTTTAACCTGGATCTTTTACTACTAAGAACACATTACAATCTGGAATCGATGATGCTTATTGCTGACAGTGTCACTGCTTTTATAAAGAGCATGCAGCATGCTTTAAATGATTCAGCGCTTGCTTCGTCAAAACTTTATCTGCAAAACAAAAACTTGTGTTGTACTTCCTCAGATCACCGCCTCAATTCATCGGCTTTTTGAGAAAAAAGCATAAGCCACATGAACAGTCCTTTTTTGCTTTTTGCGTTCTTTATCAATTACTTTATGTTTTGCTTTTCCTTACAAGGGATAATACCATAGTGTGTCGCCTAACTCCCTGTCAAAATCAGCTGGTAAATGGCCGATATGAAAGTATGTATGAGCAGAGAAAGAGAAGAAACGATACACTTATTCGTAGCAAAAAACTAAAACTTTATCCAAGAAAAGAAAAAAACTTTTTTCAGCTTCGACAGTAGATGGCGAAGCCGTCTATAAATTTCAGAATGTAGAGCTGGACCATAGATCTACATAGTGTGAAAGTTTCATTCGAATTTGACGTGTTTTGAAAAAGTTGTAAATTTTTTAAACTTCGCTTTTTTCAACTGAAAAACCGCTCTAAGTTTTGAAGCATGCACCATGGACCGATATCCTCTTAGGCTTTTTACTACCTAGTTATACTCTATCGAACGGCATATGAACGAAAAAAATCGGAGCGCCGTACTTCGAACGGTTCCCTCGTCCGTACTCGAACATTGTGACCGAAAGTTCTGTTGTTACTATACTACAAATTATTGGCAATTGGCTATTGATTTACAATTTACAATACTCAGTTTATGAACAGTATCTGCGTCATACAAGCCAGCTTTTTTATCTCTATGTGGTATGTTTAATAAAGCTGGACTCATGCTGACCTGTAACTGGTTAAAGGACGCATTATTTCTAGTAGATGTCGAGGATGGACGACTGCTCCCTACTCCGTATTAATCGAGAATATGTTAATATCTGGCTACAATCAAGAGATTGAAAAACAATCAATGTTGTTGGCAAATTATGTTATTATTTAGGTTATACACTACGTTCATTATCATCTTCATTGTTATTGATAGCTTGTATAGATCGCTATACATCGACTTCACCTGTTCCGTTCATTCTTCGGTTTAGTCAGGTGAAAATGACCAAATATATGATACCACTGGTAGCAATTGGGTGTATTCTATCTCTATATTTATATCTGTTTTTTCTATGGATTTAAACAAATTGCAACAGGTCCGATGACATTTACTCGAATATGTACCATACAGAATAATTTCGACTTTCGATTTACATCTCTTCGCTTTGCATTTGTTTATTTTCTTCTACTACCTTTAGCAATGACTGTATTTACTATATTGACAGTCAGAAATGTTCTAAATCAGCAACAACGAGTGATTTTGTTTAAAAATTAATCAATAAGCTAACATTTGTTTAGAAATAATGAGCAATGATGAATGTGTTTTATTCAAATCTCAAAGAAAGCGGTTAAGGATACATCCTCCTCCCTTCTTTTTCAAAAGAAAACTCGGTTTTGAGTTTTAAATAATTCAGGCGCTCTCTGCAAATAAGACCACTCCCATCCCCTACCATCTTTGCTCCAAAAGGTTTTAAGTTTCTCTATTAGCTCCAAAAAAAATTGTAAAAATTTTACTTTCGAAGTTCCTTCTTTTCTTCACAAACCGAAAACAACGCTTTTAAGAAGACGAAGAAAAGCGTTGTCTTTTAAATGAGGCGTTCGACAGATTTTTATCTTTCATCTTTATGGAGCTATAAGCATTCTGCAGAAAGCTATATAAGAAGACAACTTTCCTTTCCATCCAGAACAAAAAAATCCAGTCTCCAGTCTCACATCTTGGCGCCCGTTTCGACCCCTCGAAAAACTTACTCGATTGAGCTCGAATTTTTTATCAGAAATTTGTATCTTACGAGGGAAGTCCACCAACTTGAAAGTCGTTTGTGGGCCAAAATTCAGTGGGTCATAGGTTATCGACCGTCCTGAATCCGAATATCACTATGAGATCGGCTGCTAGGCCTTGCATGACCTGATTTTCCAGAAAACCAGGTTTCCAGAACCCAAAACGTTTTCTAAACCTAGAAGTGAATACACGTCAGGAATATACTGACCGAGAGATACAAAGGGTTAAGGGATGTTATATATGTATATGTATGATGTAATATATATTATGTATATATATATCTGTTGAATTGAACAGTGACCGTGATCATTTTTTTCAATAAATTTTTAACGGAACAAGATGAAGACCTGCGGTGAAGACTCCCTTAAAGCTAGTAAAAGAGCTATCTGTTTAAAAATCTCCAATAGTTTTTGCAAAAATTACAAATCTGGGAAATGACAAAATTGCAGGATACACTTCAGACTGTACTTTAGAAACTGATGGAAAACACAGGAGCGGGAACCTACATGTTAAGAGACTAAAAGACTTTAGCTTCTAATCGAAAGTTTGCGCAAAACTAGGAGGTATCCTTAATTTCTTTGGAGAAAGCAGAGTCTCTGAATCTTCTTTGTTCTAATAACCTGACGATAATCCACAAAACGAATCATGAATTCAGAAAAAGCAGAAGTTTTGACTTCTTTTCAGAATTTTGAAGTTCTTGCGGTAATATGTTTTGAATATTCATAGACTGGGCAATGTACTCTATCGCAAATTTTCGTTTTATATAATGAAAGGACACCGAAAGAAGAATCTTTACACAGAAAAACATAGATTTCACCTTTTGGCGCTCTTAGGAATTTAGGTAAGTTATTGTCGATGGTGAAGAATTCTGGAGACGTCCTGTTCAATTCACAGGCGTGAAATTTCTCTTAAAAGAAACAATTGCAGAACTTCGGACCAGTCGTTCTGGAAAAAGAGGATTAAACATAAAACTAAAATTTAAAAAGTAATGTGATGAAACATAGTTCAAGATTTACTGGACGTATTTTTTGAAAAACTTTGGCGGTGGCAGAAAGTTTTATGGAGTGTCGAACACTGAATAAAAACTAGCTTGCATCTGGGCACATACAAAGCTGTACCTTTATTGATCTTCCGGAATGGCGATGTAGAGTTCAGTCCCTTCTTACGAGCTCGACATACACTACGCTTCCCTTTCAAACTCGATGTTCATCAGTGCTTACCAACGGGATGTAAGTGTCATTGGGTTTTTAGGGATGAGTTTCAAATGTAGATTGCACGGGTCTACACTGATAAGCGAATTCAGGAAAGCAACTGTATTAATAGTAGACATTTGGATTTAATACTTGATGAAAAAGGTCGAACCAGACATTAAAAACAAATATTAAAGCAGTGTAGAAATAATCTATAAACTTTTTTTAAGTTCTTTCTTCTTGTCGTTGTTCTTGTTCTTTCTTTGTCGTTGTATTTGGTGTTCTTCTTATTGTTTACTAACAATTATGTATTTACATATTGAAATTTTTAATTAGAATAAAAAATTATTTTTTTGTGTAATAAGAGATATTGTGAGTAAGGACTAGTTCTTTGGTATGCAACAGAAAATGAAAAAAAGACTAATTCTTAGTGATTGCATTTAGAGTGTATCTATAAGTTACAGGTTAGGATTAACAATGGAAGAAAGCAGCAAAGTAAAATTTTGAAAAACACCTGTAGTAGCGCTAGCTTAATTGAAGATTAATATTTTTTTAATGCCTTTCTCATGTTTCTAAGTATAAAATAGAATGAAGTTATTCCATTCTTTTATTGTAAAGTAAAAAATTATTTCTGTCACGACAACGATGAGGAAAGCAGACGCAGTAAAGATCCTCTCATTTTTACTATTAACAGTTGATCTTGGTAAGTAGTTAGTAGTCTTACCTTTCCTCGAACAATAAAACCTAAATAATAATACGCTCTCTTTTTGCTCCTTTCAGTGTCATCACAGTCATACTATAAAGCGATTAATTGGGATAAATATGGAAATGGTGGATATTCGGATTCTAGTGCTAGAGCTGATTTTGGTTCCGTAACAGGCTGGCGAAACGAACGTGCAATGATATCGAGTGGTACATTACGTATTACACTGTTAAAACACGCTTTATCAGGGGCTGGAGGCATAATATCGAACACTAAGATACCTGACGGTTCTGCTTATGAGATGGACTTTGATGTCAAATATCATAGCCAGTTTGATTGGAGTCGCGGAGGTAAAGTTGGTTTTGGTTTCGGTATCGGTAATGGTAACACGGGATGCAATGTTGCAACTGATGGAAACGGTGGAACTCTTCGATTAATGTGGTATCATAATCCTTCTAATGGTCGGGTATACTTGCAGCCGTATTTGTATCATAAAGATATGCCGGGTCCATGTGGTGAGAATTTTGGAAAGTCGTATCCTTCATCAGGTAAGGTATTGTAAAAATTGTTTAAAAAGTCATCCGTAAGAAGTAAGAACAGGCACATGCTTGATGTTTGTCCTGGATAAAATCTGAGATCGAGAGATGTTCAATAGTGTTTGGTATGCGCTAATTTATGTCTAAAGATTAGTATTGGTGTCATACTTTTGCTTGAAAAAACGCAAATATGCTTAATTGAAGATAAATGGGAAGAGTAAATATAAATGCGCATTTTTTTATTAAATTTTTAGGCAGTATTGAAAAAGGTAAATGGTACAAAATTCATATGTATGTAAAATCAAATACTGGCAGTAATAAGAATGGCCATGTTCAAGTGAAAGTTAACGGTCAAACACTTATAGATCAGGCTATTCGTTGGACTACAAATGATAGCAAACGGCTAATTAATAATTTATCGTTTCATTCGTAAGTAATAGTAGCTGTAGTAGAGTTGTAACCGGTCTAAAAATAAGAGGCCGGATCGAACGGCTGCTCCAAAACAGTGGAACGAACCGGACCGACTGGTCTAGAAATCAGTTTAGACTGGTAAAAAGTCAGCAAAAGACCTGCCAGTTCTCAAACATTCTCTAAACTGGTTAAAAAACAGCAAAAAAACGGCCGCTTTTGAAAAAATCTTTAGACCGGTGAAAAAACGGCAGAAAACCGGCCGATTTTCAAATATTTTCTAGACGGGCAAGAGGGTAGAAAAACTCATTTTTTGTTAGTGAAGAAGAAAAAAATGTTAAGAATTTCAAAACCAGCAAAAACCGGTCAATTATCGTCCAGTCTGAAAATCTTTCTAGACCGCCAAAAGATCGATAGAGACCAGCTGATTTGAACTTTTACACTGGACTAGACCGGCACCGGAACGGTCGGCCCGGTTACAACTCTGAGCTGTAGTGATTTGTACTTAGTATATATCTTTATTTCTATTTATTTCATGTAGATTTCGCGGGGGAAAAGGAGATGAATGGAAATCGAATTCTGACGGCTATATCTATTACGATAATTTGGTTGTTAGAAAAATTAGCTAGTAGATTATTTTTTCTCCTTTAACGAATTAATATCTACTCACATATTATATAAGTGGTTGGAAAAAACAGCTAAGTTTAAGTAAAGAATAAACAATAATAGTAAATGGGACATGCACTTAGTATCATAGGAATATGTAACCGGGTTCTGTCAAAGTAGTGTTTATGTGTTGCAAGGTAAAGATAACAATTAAATACCGAATAAGATAAACATTCAATTTGATTCAGATTGATATTTTGAATAAGATTTAACGTATTCTCACCTAAATGCTATAATGCTCTTCGTTCAACAATTGACGACGTATTGTATGATAAGAAAGAAGCCAAGAAGAATATTTACTATCTGATGGTTTTTCTTTCTGTTTCTTCTATTTATAGAATAAGAAAGATTAATTCTAAAGATTTATATTTCTTCCAAAAAAATGAAACAGACTGTTTCTTCTACTCTCCACAGAATAAGCGAAATTCTACTAAATAAGTTAAAGATGAGTGGATGGAAATGATGACTGAAGCAGTTAGAAAATCAATTAAAATGAGCAGAAGGAACAGTCAATTTTTTCCTTTAATAATTGTTTCTGACGTAGTTTTTCACACTTTTTCTAACAGTATATTCGGAATTGAGTTTCGATCACGTTCAACGGTCAAACAGGGCGTTTTAAATGACTTTCATGGTGGTATACATACTTTTTAATTACAGATTGATTGGACTCGCGCAAGGGAAGGGAGACATAACAGTATACTACTGAAATACTGTACTTTATTGCCATTTTGCACTTTGTGCACGAAATTGCTTTTCTTTTCGTAAAAATTTCTAATACGTATCACTGAAATTTTTAAAAAGCTGCCTCAAATTTTAGAAATCTGGTATATCAGATTGAACCTCAACGCTAAATTTAATAGAAGGATCTAACTTGTTCATTCATTTTACAAAATTAAATATATCTTTTTGAGTACCGCAAATAACGGCAAATATATCGTTAACATATCATAAATCGGTGAACTTTGAGGGGGGATAATCTAGTGGAGTATAATTCTCCCAGATCATTATCGCCTATTTTCCAGATCGGATGATATTGTTTGATCTTTTTAATGGCAAGATAAATTGATTTTTCCAAAGGAACATTTGTAAATAACGACAAAACGTCAAGTGAGAACATAACATCCGACTTATCTTTATTAGCATGAATTTGATCAACAAATTCGAAAGAATCATTCATACTGAGAGACCAACTTTCATTGCTGCAGATGATAAATCAGCTGTATATTTCGCAGTTTTGTAAGTATAAGCATCATAACTCGAAGTAATAGGATAAACAACCTGGTTATCTTTATGTACTTTGACGAGAAAATAGGTTTCAGATGTTCACGGCCCTGCGTCAGGTCTTATACGTTTATACTCCTTCTTGTCGATAACGTTTTTCTTTTTAATTTTAAAGAAAATTCAATAAACTTCTTCTCTCGGTCATCAGTCGGATTTTCATTCAACAGTTTAAAGGCACGTTTACTATCGAGAATAGACTATCCTTTCTGTATATAATCATCTCGATTCAAGAATACTACTGAGTTCCCTTTATCTGCTTTTGACATAACCAAAGATTTATCATTTTGCAACATCTTTATAGCTTCAATTTCAGTAAAGGATAAACTGGACACATCAGATGTTTTTAATCTTTCTTTAATCGTAGTTCCAAACTCATTCAATGCATCTTTGATTTTGGCTCCATTTGCGACATCTATATAAATTAATTTTGTCTGACATGAACGCGGTCGCTGAAAAGGAGATTAAAATTAAACACAAAATAAAATTACAAAGTCCAAATATTCTCGCTGATAACACTGCATTGAATAATAAACTGCTTTATAATTACTCTCATCGTGTACTGACTAAAGTTGAAGAAAGTCTGTTGCCATACACAGGTGAAAATATGCTATGAATATTAGAGTAGTGCCCAGTTCCATAGCTCCTCGGAAATTCCAGAATTCAGAGTATCGCTATTCATCTCATGTTCCTCTTCCGATCCCCTCACTATCCCATTCCCTCTATGAACTGATAGAACTAGAATTCAATCAGAATCTTATTAACAGTATATATTGTTAATGTGTTAAATTCTGCCAGTTCTTGGAATTTCCATGAAATTGTAGAACTGAATACTAATGGAATATCAAAGAATTGAATTTACTGAATGTTAAAACGGATACTGAGTATATTTATTATCGTAAAGAGACGTGTTCACTTTCAAAATCAAAGATGTATTGAATGAGTTTGGAACTTCGATTAAGCAATGATAAAAATTTGTAATGTGCCTAAATCTACCCTTTGTTGAAATTGAAGCTATAAAAACGTTGGCAAACGATAAATCTTTGGTTATATCAAAAGCAGATAAGGTGACGAACGTTTTTCTTCATATCTTTTATTCACACACCCATAGGTTTATTTAGGTTTATTTTGTCTAACGCATATATTAGTTTTTTTACCCTGACTCGACCCGAAGTGGTACGAAATTTTCGAAATCTGACCCGAGTAATTCGAAAATTTTCTTAGGTGACCTAATAAATTTTTCTGGAAAAGAGCAGAAGCCTACAGTTTTTGTAATAGCCTAGAACTTTTCTCTGATTTTTTGTCCAAGTGATAGTTCATTCGAATTATGATAACCCGAAACAGGACATCTTTCTCGATCGTATATTGTCATGAAGTTTAATCATCATAATATGACGCATATTTAAGGCGTTCGTTTCTCTGGGTTTACTTATATTTCCTTTTATCTTTTTTTGCTTCAACAGTGCGATACTGTACAATGTACAGCGTACAGTACGCAGCGTCAAAGCAGGAAGGAAGAAACACTGTAACCCCGATCGGGACGTCTCTCTTTCGTTTGCGGAGAGTGCAAAAATCTAATCTTAATTTAACTTGTATTTTCTTTCAACTTAAAGTGGAGCCGCAGCTCGTCTTGACCCCTTTCGCTTCGTTGGACAATGTCAGTTACTTCTCCGATCAAGAAAATGAGATTCTCTTCTCCATGCACACTGTGTTTCGCATCGGTGAGATCAAACACATTGCCGGTCAACTTTGGCAAGTGAAGTTGACAGAAGACCATTTTATTTTCAAGTGGCAAGATCCGTAAAACCCAAAAACTTTTTTTCCTTTGACCCGACCCGACCCAATATTATTTACACTGACCCTAACCCGACCCGACCCGTTTCGGTCTCTGATAACCAAAGCGAACCTTTAAATCAGAAGTTTCAAGACAAGTTTTGATAAATCAGCCGATGTATGATGATATAATTTTGGTTTATCGAGACAGTTGAGAAGACGCTCAGTCTAAGTTTTGGATGCACAAAAATTTCATGCTCGTTAAAATCGGTGATCTCAGCGTCGTGTATGATATTAAAAGAAGTCATCCAGTTGTCACGTACGAAATTTGTACATCAGAAGCGAAGAAAGGCACGAACGAGCCGCCGATCATGTAAGAGACAAGACATGGCTCGAAATATGAAAAAAACATGTTTATAATTAGGATCAAGATAAACTAGTTTGTTAGGTGAATGATCAATATTCATCTGTACCACACTACAGTGTAAAATTATTTACACCAGCTAAACCATTTTGGTTTATCGAAAACTTGTCTTGAAACTTGTGATTTAAAGACCTACATTTAACTGGATATGTTTGGCCACATTTGGAACATATTTTGTACGATTCCCAATTAATATTTAAGTTTTCTTGACGACTTAAATTTTTTTCAACAGCTTTCATACTCTTCGGCGCATTGTCGACTTCTAATGAATTGAGAAAGCGACAAATCTATCAATATCTCGATTATTTTGAGAACGACGAATTTTCATAACCATTGTTGCTGCCGATATATCCTGTTAGGTTGGGTTTAACGAGGTGGGGCATCTAAATAAAAACCAGTATTTTTCCTCAACTATAACTAGAACACTGGACAATAGTATTAACAGTATCGCTGAAAACGTTCACTGGGAGATTATCATAGGATGTCAGGCAATTTGAGCTCTGCAAAACATCTAAATAGTACATAAAAAGTTTCAAATCCGGCAACACAAGCTTAGAAGATGAGGAAGGAAGAGGTCGTCCGTCTGATTTTGATGATCAAGCTCTTTTACAAGCGGTGGAAGAAGACGAAAGTTTGACGACACGGATGTTGGCCGAGCAATTCGACGTCGCCCAGTCCACCATTGTAAGGCGACTCAAAAACCTCGAAGATGATAACAAGGCCGAGCGAGTCCGCATCTTCAGCCAATTGCTTCAGCGAAATGAGCAAAATCCATTTCTTCGTCACCGGCGATGAGTCATGGTTACTCTTCAAAAACGTCAAGCGAAAGAAGGTGTACGTTAACCGTGACCAATCTCCGAAAAGCATTCCAAATGATTTTCACTGCAAGAATGCCATGTGGTGTGTATGGTGGGACCGCTCTGGGATTGGTCACTGGGAAATCATCGCTAAAGTTCGCCAACAAAGTTTCTGTTATTAGTGGGACGACAACGATGTGAAGTATCAATGGCCTATTCCCGACAGAAATGGGAAAAAGCAGCACAACATTAACAATGACGTCTATCTGGCTCAACTCGATCGCTTGGAAGCCGCTATCAAAGCCAAACGTCCTCGCAAGAAGAACCACATCGTGTTTCACCATGACAACGCCAGGCCACATGTCGAACATCGAGTAATCCAATCAATCAACGACAAAGGATGGGAACTGCTTGAGCACTCACCATATGCTCCCACTGAAGCTCCTACAGACTATCACGTCAATTGTTCGCTCAAAAATTGGCAGACGGGCAAAGTCTACGATGGTTTGGACGATCTTGTCGCTGATGTCAAAGCGTGGATTGCATCCAAGGATCGTCACTTTTTTGCACGTGGAATCGATCGTTTGCCAAGCAAATGGGAAGCAGTTATTGAAGTAGATGGCGATTATGCTCCAGAATGATCATTTAAACATGTTTTGAGTATACTTTGGTGTTCTATTGTTGAATAAATTTAGAATCAATAAACACGGTGGTTAATTTTGCATCAACACTATAGTTGAAAAAAACTTGAGCAAAAGACTCAGGATGAAAAAATGAGTTTAGAGAAAAGAAATTAATCATAAATTTAATCGTATTATATCCTAGTGGACTTTTTTTCTCATAACCATCAGATGGACAAATACCGGCGTTCATTTTCATGCTTATGGGATTAAAGCAGGGATTAAGCATGAAAATGAACGCCGGTATTTGTCCATCTGATGGTTATGAGTGATAATAAAAAGAGCAATAAAGGCAAACAAAAACTGAGAAGTTAATGCAAAAAGTACATCAAAATCAAAAATAAGATAAAGAAGTAAGTGATAAAGACCCGTTTTTTGGTGGAACGTCTACAATGCTTATTTTGAAGTTCTGTAAGCCCGACAATATGAGGTGTAAAAATTAGGAGTGGCAGTGTTACCGTTACTCATGCATTACATTACCGAGGAGTGATACTGAAAGATATTTCTGTTGCTGGTAACAGTAACACTTCTCCATATTAATGTTGTTGACAACAGGAATATTCATATAACTAATATTACTTTCCAGTAAAGTAATACAAGAAAAAAGTGTTTCAAAAGAGTATTTTCTAACGTGTTCTTGGATGAAAAATGAATTATTGCAAAAGAAAATTTTTTTCAACAATTTTCCTACTTTTTGTTTTTCCACAAACTTCGTGGATTTCCCCATCCATACAATGCTATCTGATTATTTTCCGAACAGACTTGAAACGAGAGATCGCTGAACATTGAGTTACGCGTGCAAGGACAAGCATTGAGTAGATTGCTCTATGAACTTGCATGTGAGCGTAAAGGTCGTTCAAAACTTTCGACGCTTCTCTGTAAACTGACGTTCCATATATGTTTATCATCAGTTCAAGAATATTGTGCCACTTCAACAGAAAAAGTCTATATAGCTTAGTTTAGTTTCTTTTATACAATAAGCACAACTTGTTAAACATTGTATACAGGAAAAAGGGAAAGAGCTATGAATTACAGATGTGCAGGGTGCCCTTACCTTACCATACCCTGCAGGGTAGGGTAGAGTAATGGGGGGCTGCCAGGGCTTCAAAGTCACAAGGTAGGGTAGGGCTAGGGCTTCGTCAAAAAAGGATATATTGCCGGTACAACATTGAGGCCGGTCGCTAGCGACAGTTATTTTAAACTCTTTATTTTATGGGATGTAAGACGCCCATTTCTGGTGCCCATTATGTTACTACGAAATTTTAAAAGAGAATTTTTGTCAATATGATTCATTTCTTTAAAAAAATAAAGGAATAATTAATTGTAAATGAAAAATTCTCAAATTTTCAAAGAGTAGGGTGGGGCAGGGCTCAAAAACTTTTCACAGGGTAGGGCAAGGGCTCCGTAAACAGCTACCCTGCACATCTCTACTGTGAGGAGTCAGACTACAAAATAAAGTGATGAAAGACTGCGTAATACGAAGATATCCGTCCGTGTTTTCACGTCGTTTATTCAGTATACATGTAACGTTGTTCTTTTTCTCTTACTTGTTTACTCTTCCCAAACTATAGTCAAAGCCTAAAATGTTAATCAAAACACACACTATTCTCTGATCCTGTTTTTGTTTCTTGGACTCATAGCTTTTTCTCATTAATTGCGAAAACCTACATTGTTTTCGGTTGCATCCATTTAGAGTTGTAATTATGCCCTTTTTTAGAGATTTTCAATATTTCGGTGCTGTCGTCAATCTAGAAACACCTCAGAAAGCTTTTCTTCACGCAAAATCCTCACGTTTTATCCAAGAACACGTTAGGAAATTGTTTGAATACTCTTTTGAAAAATTTTTCTGGTATTACTTTACTGAAAAGTAATATTAGTTTTATGAATATTCCTGTTGCCAACAACATTAATATGGAGAAGTGTTACTGTTACTGGTAACACGAATATTTTTCAGTATTAGTGTTACTTGTAACAGGAATACATAAAATATTACTCTTACCGGTAATAGGAATATATACAATATTGTATCACTTGTCATAGTAACAGTATTGTGCCACTTCTACTAAAAATCTAAAAGTTATTTCGTAACCACAGTTTCATCTGTAGAATCGAATGGGATCATAAAAAGTATATATTAGTTTTTTTCATTTTCCAATGCTACATGCTCGTGTTTGATGGATTCATCAGTCTGTCTTAAGCGTTTTCTGCAGAAGGTTAGCATTTAGTCCAGTTAGATATATTTATTATTACTAAACTTTGAACTATAATTGTCATATGATTTGAAGAAGTTTTTGACTCCAAGCGACGTTTCATTGCATTTATTTCGTTGGCATTGTATTAAATTGTTTGGCATTATCAACTGGCTTGTCCCAAGGCGGTCTTGCTTTACAATATGATTCCATTCCTGGTTTCGGAATTTCATCAAATAATCCTAACTTTATAACTTGTATACCCGGAACGTTTGGCGAAGCTGTATAAATTGGACTACCACAATTGCCACAAAAAGCGCGCTCAAGCGGCTTTCCACTATCTGTATTCACATCTTGATAAATTTTTGGTACTCCGCTGATCTTAACAGTCGATTCGGGAGCAATAACACTGACTGATGCTAAAGCACCGCCAGACTGACGACAGTTCTTGCAATGACACAGAGTAATATTGTCAGTTGCACTTAACACTTCTTTGCTAACAGAAACACTGATCTGTCCACATAAACATTTGCCAGTTGTTGAGCTCATTGTTGTCGTCAGTTGTTTTTTCTTATTCAAGTATATGAAGATGAGGTGTGTTTCTTTTTATTTTTCTCTATATGGTTAAATATTAAGTATAGCAAAAGTGATTGTCGTGTTTTGCCGTAATATTATATATATTGTTTTGGAGCGAAAGAGTGTGACTAAGAAGTAAGAAGAAATAGTAATTATCTTCCTTTACCTAATAAAGGACAAACCGGTACAGCTGAACGACAAACCAGTACTTTTCGGGGGTGTGTTGAGTGTTAAATTTTTCTTACATTCTCTCCTCTAAATGTGACTTACTGTACACTAATCTTTACGGTTCGTATGCTCAGAAAAAGAAAAGAAAAAATGAGAACGCGATTCATCGCCTTCTTCCCTTTTTTGTTCTTCATTTTTAGAAAAAAATCAAACCATTACCATTTAACGACAATTGTGCTGAATATGAACACGTACCTATCTATGACTCTGCATGATTGTTATTTTTCTGCTATACTTAATATTTACGGAATGGTTATCGGCACCTTCAGAGGTGTCACCAAGGAGCTATTGCCACCTCCAGAAGGTGTCATTGACGGCTATTGGCACCTTCAGAGGTGTCACCAAGGAGCTATTGCCACCTTCAAGAGGTATCAATAACGACTATTGCCACCTTCCAGTTCACTATTATATCCGCAGGTGTCAGTAGCGGCTATTGCCGCATTCCAGCTTACAAGTATGAGTGCATATTTGTATGATGAGTAGTGGTCCCACAGCCAGCGGTATTAGACGATAAAAGTGTCGGCGGCGGTTGACTTACTATTTCTTTTTCGCCCGTGGTGGAAAATCGATGAGTTTATTGAGGTAATGTTGGGCTTTCTGAATCAACAGATTTCAGCTGGTTGCTATGGTTTACCGTCGTCGCGGCTGTACGAAGCTTTGGAGTATTGATTGTTTTTATTTGCAATCACTGATGGTCTTTATGACCCTGACAGTACAAAAAATTAAGGAAATGAATTAGTAAAAAAATAATACTGAGTAGTTCTCACATTTTAAATGGTGTTAAGACAAAAAGAAAGAAAGGGTTTTACAATTAGTCACTCAGTATTGAATACAAAAA